CTCCTGTGGCTGAGAGTAGCAGAGCAGTATAAAACCCCATAACATTTCTGTTGATATGCACAACTCAAGAAGGATATGTCAATGTCAGGAAAAGATAAGTGTGAGGTACTGAGATGATTAAAGCTGATAGGATGATGGTTACACCTCACTGTAGTCATTGTTTTATTTGAGGAGATAATCATTCTTACTCTTTAATTAAAAGTGTACTAAATGTGTAGAGATAGTCAGTTCCTACCAGAGACAGATTATTTTCTCCTTCACATACTGAAATTGTGTGTTACTTTTCTCCACAATTTGTGTCAACAGTTTTTGAAATCTTTCCTTAGCATGTAACTTATCAGCAGAAGACTGTAGATTATGAGGATCTGAGAGTGATATATTCATCAAATGGCTAAAGATGATGATCTGATAAGGATGAATGATATGATTTGATTTGATTGCTGGATATTTAACCAGGCACTAGAAAAGAAATGTGGTAGCCAAAAGTATGTTATCTGAAATCAGTCTGCTTTGATGCTCTGATGCCCCTTGAAACAATGGACCCATGTTGATCTTATTGCTCTTTCAGGAATTTTAAGAAGAGATGCATGCTTTTTTATACCATTAGGTTTGCAGATCCATAGCTGTAACCATAGTAACTCAATATTTATGGGTATTTCAAGCTGTTAATGACAAAAACTAGTTATTTGAAATGTTATGTTATAAGGAACGGGTAAAAAAATGAAAAGATTTATCCTAAAAAGGGCATCCTGGTCATCAAAAATTCACATTGTATTGAACATATCTTGATTATGCATTTAATTTGACTGTTCTTCAAATAACTTAAAGTGGGGAATAGCTTTATCTGAAAAAGTTTATATATGTTATGAACATTGCTTCAGTTTATCTAGGAGAAACAGGTTGAGAATTTGCCACCTTATGCATATCACACTCAGGAGTGTTTGATTGTCATTATGTCTGGTCTGTCTAAAAACAGGAAAAAAACATCTACATATAACATCTGTTTAATATTTTTGCATATTTTAATGTGTAGCCTGAAGTAGAAAGTAAGGTTCATATAATGACGCATTCCTCACTGAAGAATAACCAATAATCACCACAGGGAGGAAAGAGAATTTCATAGCTCCTTGAAGTAAAACATAGTTAATCAGATCCCAACAAGGTAGATAGTACAGCTGCTTCCCAGCATAACAACTTACACCTTTACACAGCAATGGAAATATAACTTTTATTCTCATTGAGAAGATCTGATTTTTTTTTTACCAACTTGAGAAGGAAAAAGAGGGGGCATGGAGGAATGGGAAAGATTAGATGAGCTAAACTTTGGAGGAAGATATTGACTATAAAAGGTGAGAATTACAGCCAAAAGAAGCAGACAAAGGTATGCAGTTGCATAAGGAAAATAAATCCATTTATGACTGACCTTACTATAATCTATATTGCATCTGTGTGGGATCAGTGGAGTAATGGTCCATAGAGGTCAGCAGAGATAGGCACTTTTTTCAGTGGTTGTCAGTAAGACTGTAGGCTCCCAGGCATGCAATAAGGTACTGGAGTATAGATTAAAACTTCAAGGGCCACATAGAGGTTTTGCTTCCAATCAGGTCACAGTGGGCTTGACCTCTCATAAAGGATTAAAAAAACCTCAGGAAATGTTAAAAGGTTATTCCTCACCCTGGGTAGCCTAGTAGTTAGTGTAATTAGTTAAGAATCTTATTCCCATCCTTCTTTGCTTTACTGTAGGGAAATATTCTGACAAAGTTTTGTTTGGGTGTCGTTTGTTGAATCTGGGAGTAGAGAATTTGGAAGAAAGAAGACTGTTGTGTTCTGATCATTTTTTTTCAACAACAATAATAATAGTAATAATAATAATAAACAACCAATAATTAATTTATAATTATACCAATTCTATGTTATTTAAATACTTATTAATATAAAGTAATTTTTAACTGAAGCTCTGCTCCTTTCTGAAGTAAAGCCCTCTGAAATTCACTGCCCAAGTTTCATACTGCTGCAGATATTGAAAAGAAATGAAGCCTTCCTGTGGGTCTGTTTTTTTTCAGAAAGATGTTAATGTTAGAATTAAAATTACTCAAATATCTTCATTCTTCAAGCTCCTGAACTATTTTATCATTTTAGTCAAGAAAGGATGTAGTGATTACTTTCAATGAGTTGTAATGTCAACAATACCATCATTGTGTAATTTTTTTAGTAAAGTTTACAGTGGTCTGCTTTGCAAAGTTGTATTAAAATAATATAAAAAAGCCAAAAATTGAATACTGAGTGCTTTTTTCTTGATTATAGCTTTCAATATCCTGTCATCAAATGCAAATAAAGCTGTGCTGGCACACTACCAGTCACATCTGTCTTGTTAATGAAACAAACTATGGAAACCTTTCCAGTTTTCTTGTTCCAGTCTGCAAAACAAAGGAGAACAATAAATGCTCCAAATAACATCGAGCTGGTTTATGATTTTTTAAAAAGCTTCCATCACATGAACATAATGTTACAAGATGAATGGTTAAGTTGTGACACTGCATTTCAAATTAATTCCGTTCTATAGAAAATGTAATTACACTTTTTTTTTTTTTTCCTTTTCCAAGTAAGAATAGATTTCATAAGAAAGAAAATGGGCAAAAAATTGTCAGTGTTCGAAACCATTGCATTAAGACCATCTTGAAAAACCCAGTGGCTCTAAGGCCTATGATATTTCATGTTTCTCAAGCAGTTAGGGGTTAATAAAGGGAAATCCCAATCCAGAATTCGTTCAAGTCATGGAGAATATTCTCACTGACCTTATTTTTCTTGGATGATAACCCTTATAAATAAGATATCTATCAGATTTCTATCTGTATAAACACTGAACATTAAAGTTGCCATTGTGCTTATTGTAATTATAGTAAAATAGGAATGGATTTCCTGGCTTTCAAAGTTAACTTTGTATTTAGCATCACCCACTTTTGGGACCCCAGTGTTCTATACGCTGGTAGATAACTTCAATGTCACGTTGTCATTGCCGAACCAGCCCATTATTCTAGCAAAATGCAAACTTTCCAAAATTTTTATGTGAACATGTCCTGGTTTTGGCTGGGATAAAGTTAATTTTCTTCATAGTAGCTAGCGGAGTGCTGTGTTTTGGATTTAGTACCAGAAGAATGTTGATAACACACTGATGGTTTTAGTTGTTGCCAAGTAGTGCTCAGACTACTCAAGGACTTCTTGAGCTTCTCCTGCTCGGCCAGGTGCATAACAAGCTGGGAGGGAGCACAGCCAGGACAGCTAACCCAAACAGACCAAAGGGCTATTCCATACCATATAACGTCATGCT